CAGCTCTCCTGCAGGCTCAATAGTCCTCCGCATGACAGCCAGTGCCCAGAACCCAGGCCACCTCCTCCTGTGTCGCCCTCTGTGGTCCACCATACAGGCTCTGTCCTGCACTTGGGCATCAAGCCACCTGTGTGGAGGATTTCAAGGTGCTTTCCTGTACATGTCCTCCCCCCCCATGCACAGTGATCTCTCGTGCAAGATGCCGTGCACACCATCCACTTACGAACGTGCATCTGAGTCTCCCGACACACCTTGTCTCACAGGTGAGAGGGGAAGGGGCTGGGCTCTGAGATGATGTGCAGCCAGGGTATCCTGGTTCCTACACAGGACTAGACTCAACAGCACTTTGAAAACCTGTCGATGAGCGTCAACAACCATAAACCATGTGTGCTCACGGCACAGCCCATAGGCCGGCGGCAGCTCCAGGCTCCCCACATGCTGGGCATGCTCTTAGAAAACCAGGCACGGCTCTGTATGGCGCCATATGCCTGAGCCTCCCCAGGAGCTGGGAGAGGACACTTCCGTTCATGGTTCCAGGCCAGCATGCTGCCCCAAGCTGTCCAGACTTTCTCTCTGAGCAATGGCCTCTGCTTCCATCCAGGCCCCGGCTCCCTGCTGAGGCACCTGGCCCAGAGACCCTTCTCTGTGGCCTGGGATGCTGGGTCTGGCTTTGATTTTGATTAAAGCACAAAGATGAAAGATGTGATCTTGGTTCTCCTCCATCCTGGGAATCCTCAAGTCTGTTTATCAAACACTCTCCATCTGAGCCCTTGTGACTCCTCTAGGGAAGTCTGTGATCTCTTTTTGCGCAACCCTCCCGGGGTGGGGGGCTGGCTTCACCCCTCAGGGGAGAGCTGGGCTTCGCTGGAAACCAGAGGCCCGGTTCAGCCACAGGACCCACTAGCTTATAGCCAGGAAGGTGTCCCTTAAGAAGCAGAGCAACGCTTTGTGATTGAAATGTGTAATCAGGGTGTGAACTTGATTACAAATCAGAATTGTCCTTCCTCCCCCATCACCCCCATTTGCACGGCAGCGAGCAGATCACTTTCTCAGTTCTTCTTGGACGTAAAAAAACAACAGACTGACATCGGGGTGCCAGTGATTTGTGTGTGTGTGAGGACTCCCCTCGAGTGGACTTCCATTTGGCCCATGCTGACCATTTCTTATTCTTTCCCAGAGGTTCTTCTTTTGGGGGAGGTCATACTGGGGCTTGAACTCAGAGCCTGTGCATGTGAGGTGGTGATTCTGCCACCTGTCCAGCCCTTGTGAATTTACTTTTTCAGACCGAGTCTCACACTAACTTTGAGCTCATGCTGTCTTCTGTTCCCATTGTACAAACTGCAATCCTCCTGCCTTGGTCTCCTGAGTAGCTGGGATTACAGGTGTACACAACTGTACCATCCAACCCTCTTCTAGTAATTCTTTATCAAGAAAAGCACATACCTCAATTTTGGTCCTTTGTTAGAGGTGGCAAGGCACTGTTGGAGTTGGATGAAAGAAAGGCAAACTCCTAATTATACCCCAGGCACACTGAGAGCCAATACATGTCCAGTACATCCTTTACCAAATCTCTGCATTTCTCTTGACTCAAAGCAGACCACTGTCCCTTCTGTCTTTGGTGGTATCTTGGATCCTGCCCTGCGTCCTAACTCTATTCACTCCCTCTATTTGGCTGCTGTCCAGCAGTGTGTTAAGGGCCATTTCTGACTGGCCCATGAGCCATTGGCTTAGGGGCTGTGCCAGGCTGGACCTCTGGGGTCTACACCCACAGCTTCTTTACTGAGGGGACATGAGAGGCTGGCTGGGATGCTCAGGCCAGCTCACATGGGGCCCTCCTAGAATCCATGCCTGGCTTTACAAGTCCACCTTTCACGAAGCCAGGTTATGTCCATCTGAGCATCCTCAACGCTGACTCTGCAGGGATGGTGGGGGAGGGGATGGCGTCCCCAGAGAAAGTACGTCTCCGGCCTCACTTCCTCCCCCAGGCCTCACTTCCATCCCCGGGCCTCCCCGCCGTCCCCCGGCGTCTTTCCTCCCCGGCACAGTCTTGCTCTTAGCTACCTCCTGACTCGTAAGGGGTGTGTCAGCGGGACCTGGCAACCCCATGAGGACCTGGGCCATGCAGTTGTGTGGTGGTGTGGGGTATGGTAGGGTGTGGTGGTGTGTGGTGGTGTGGTGGTATGGAGTGGTGTGGTGTGTGATGGTGTGGAGTGGTGTGGTATATGGTGGTGTGTGGTGGTGTGTGGTGGTGTATGGTGTGTTGATGTGTGTTGGTATGTGGTGGTGTGGTGTGTGGTGGTATGGAGTGGTGTGGTATGTAGTGTATGGTGGTGTGGGGTGTGGTAGGGTGTGGTGGGGTGTGGTGGGGTGGTGGTATGTGGTATGTGGTGGTGTGGTGTGTGGTGGTATGGAGTGGTGTGGTATGTGGTGTGTGGTGGTGTGGGGTATGTTGGTGTGTGGGGTGTGTTGGTGTGTGGTGGTGTGGTGTGTGGTGGTATGGAGTGGTGTGGTATGTGGTGTGTGATGGTGTGGAGTGAGGTGAAGTGGTATGTGGTATGTGGTGGTGTGTGGTGTGTTGGTGTGTGGTGGTGTGGGGTGTGTTGGTGTGTAGAGTGTGTTGGTGTGTGGTGATGTGGGGTGTGGTGGTATGGAGTGGTGTGGTATGTGGTGTGTGGTGGTGTGGGGTGAGGTGGTATGTGGTGTGTGGTGGTGTGGTGTGTGGTGGTATGGAGTGGTGTGGTATGTGGTGTGTGGTGGTGTGTGGTATGTTGGTGTGTGGTGGTGTGGGGTGTGGTGGTATGGAGTGGTGTGGTATGTGGTGTGTGGTGGTGTGGGGTGAGGTGGTATGTGATGTGTGGTGGTGTGGTGTGTGGTGGTATGGAGTGGTGTGGTATGTGGTGTGTGGTGGTGTGTGGTATGTTGGTGTGTGGTGGTGTGGGGTGTGGTGGTATGGAGTGGTGTGGTATGTGGTGTGTGGTGGTGTGGGGTGAGGTGGTATGTGGTGTGTGGTGGTGTGGTGTGTGGTGGTATGGAGTGGTGTGGTATGTGGTGTGTGGTGGTGTGGGGTATGTTGGTGTGTGGTGGTGTGTGGTGGTGTGGGGTGTGGTGGTATGGAGTGGTGTGGTATGTGGTGTGTGGTGGTGTGGGGTGTGTTGGTGTGTGGAGTGTGTTGGTGTGTGGTGGTGTGGTGTGTGGTGGTATGGAGTGGTGTGGTATGTGGTGTGTGGTGGTGTGTGGTATGTTGGTGTGTGGTGGTGTGGGGTGTGGTGGTATGGAGTGGTGTGGTATGTGGTGTGTGGTGGTGTGGGGTGAGGTGGTATGTGATGTGTGGTGGTGTGGTGTGTGGTGGTATGGAGTGGTGTGGTATGTGGTGTGTGGTGGTGTGGGGTATGTTGGTGTGTGGTGGTGTGTGGTGGTGTGGGGTGTGGTGGTATGGAGTGGTGTGGTATGTGGTGTGTGGTGGTGTGGGGTGTGTTGGTGTGTGGTGTGTTGGTGTGTGGTGGTGTGGTGTGTGGTGGTATGGAGTGGTGTGGTATGTGGTGTGTGGTGGTGTGGGGTATGTTGGTGTGTGGTGGTGTGTGGTGGTGTGGGGTGTGGTGGTATGGAGTGGTGTGGTATGTGGTGTGTGGTGGTGTGGGGTGTGTTGGTGTGTGGTGTGTTGGTGTGTGGTGGTGTGGTGTGTGGTGGTATGGAGTGGTGTGGTATGTGGTGTGTGGTGGTGTGGGGAGAGGTGGAGTGGGTGTGGTGGGGTGGAATGGGGAGAGGGCAGTGGATGAGCAAAGTGGCTTCAGCTTTCTCACTGTGTCACCTATGGGGGGGTCTCTGTGTCACCTGTGAGGTTTCCCTGTGACACCTCCGGGGTCTGTGTCACCTCTGGGGTCTCTCTGTGTCACCTCTGGGGTCTCTCTGTGTCACCTCCGGGGTCTCTCTGTCTCCTCCAGGGTCTCTCTGTCACCTGTGGGGTCTCTCTGTCACCTGTGGGGTCTCTCTGTCACCTGTGGGGTCTCTGTGTCACCTGTGGGGTCTCCCTGTGTCACCTCCGAGGTCTGTGTCACCTCCGAGGTCTCTCTGTCTCCTCTGGGGTCTCTGTGGGTCACCTGTGGGGTCTCCCTGTGTCACCTGTGGGGTCTCACCATGTCACCTCCGAGGTCTCTCTGTCTCCTCTGGGGTCTCTCTGGGTCTCCTCCGGGGTCTTTCTGTGTCACTTGGGGGGTCTCACCATGTCACCTCCGAGGTCTCTCTGTCTCCTCCGGGGTCTCTCTGTGTCACCTGTGGGGTCTCTGTGTCACCTCCGGGGTCTCTCTGTGTCTCCTCTGGGGTCTCCCTGTGTCACCTCTGGGGTCTCACCTGGGTACCTTCCTAGGGTCTGCCGGGATCACTCAGCAGCAGTCTTTCTTGCTTTTCCTGATAAGGCGGATTTGGGCAGTCCTGGACACAGCCCATGTGGCCCCAGGGTGCACTGTGGTCAGCACCAGTGTGGTCTTCGGGCTGGGGAGGGGAGCTGGGGTGCCCCGCCGCACACTGGGGTGGCAGCTGGGGTCAGGGAAAGGGATCGCCTTCCTGGGTGAAAAGAAGTGGCTCATGACCACCACCCCTGCCAGGTCCTGAGGCTGGGCACTCACACGGAGAGGAAATGGGAGAGGAAGCGGAAGAGGAAGTAAGCCACAGGCAGTATGAAGCCACCCGGCTCTGGCGACTCCTGGTCCTGCAGTTCTTGTGTGAACCACACCTCTGTGCTTCCTGGGTCCCCCACAGGGCGTGTCTGGAGGAGCCTGCCCACCTGCCTGCCCTTTCTGACAGGTGGCTGGGGCAGGGGCTGGAGTGAGGGCTGGAGGTATCATCGCTCAGAGTAGAAAGCGTCCATCTCACCCCACAAGAGAGCGTCCCTGCGCAGAGCCACCAACCCGGCTGCCCACCCAGTGCTGGCTTCACGTCCAGCCCCGGGGCCCCAGCCTGGGGGTGCAGGCCCTGGGGCCGCGCCAGCCATCTGCAGGCCCTACCTGTATCTCTGCTTCACAGACTGCTTCTCCGTGGACTTGCACACACGCCCCGCGTAGTACAACGGGAAGAATAAAAAGTTCCAGTTGGTGGCAAACCAGGTCAACGTGAAGGGTGCATCGAATGTCCTGAAGGTGAGTCTGGCAAGCTGCGTGGAACCCGCCCAGGAGGCGCACACGCACAGCACCACGGCCACGCCCCACAACGTCTTCTTGAGCCGAGCCCGTGAGCAAGTCCAGCGTGGCCGGCTCGTCTTCCCACCGGCCTCCACCCCGGCCGGAGCCTGGACCTCTGCCGGGCCCGGGGGGTCCCGGGGACGCTCCTCCCCTGGGGGAAGAGAAAGAGGTTAGCTGGGCCTGCAGACCTCGGAGTTCATGGGGTAGCTGGGCAGGGGTGAAAAGAAGGGGACTCGGGGCAGCCCCTGGACAGCTGGCTGTACTGGTGTGCCATGAAAGTGGTCATGGGCCTTCAGGTGTGGCCCGCAGCAAGGCCACAGTAGGGCCTGCAGCAAGGCCACAGTAGAGCCGGCCCTCTTCCCACAGCCTCTTGTGAATGGAGTCTCAGACCCCACCCAGCCCCGGAGCCAGACCCTGGCAAAGTGACTCCACATATCCGGCTGGGAACCCTTTCTCAGAGCAGTCGGGTCCCCACTGCCACCAGCTCACGCCTGCTGACTGCTCATGTGCAGGCCCTCCCTCACTAGAGGCCGGGACTCCCACCTCTGGAGGCAGGCAGGTCTTGGCCTCTAGAAGGCCCAGGATCTTGACCGGCAGGTGCTCTTCCCCACGGAAGCCAAGGCCCTGGGTCTCTCGCACTGCCCGCTGAGCAAGAACAGCCTACCTTTTCCCATTCCCTCTGCTCCAGTTCACTTCCTGCCCTGGTCTCCAGCCCTGTGTTGAAGCATTGCTTATAAGACCACAACTCCTGGCATGTATGTGTGTGTGTGTGTGTGTGTGTGTGTGGCCACAGGCAGACTCTGCATTGTGGAGCTGGCTGTGGCCGGAGCCAGGGTCTGCCACTGCGTTCGTGCAGACTGCACAGGGGAAAGTGATATTTTCCAGTGTTTGCTTTTCATTCATTATTGTGTGTGCACTAGGCAGCTGGAAACTTAAACAGAGCTCCAAACCTGTGTTCTATAGCTGCGGACAGAGGCGGCCCATGTCCTGTGGCTGTGGACAGAGGCAGCCCAAGTTCTCCCTCAGCTCCAGGGCAGGTAGCTGGGAAGGCCATAATGCCCTGTGGAAGCCACCTCTGTCCAAGGGCTGAAGGTGTCCACTTCACCAGTATGATGGGTGCTAACTTAAATAACTGTCATCATCTCAAACCACGGTCTGCATGCTTTCCTAGACGCAGCACTCTATGTGGCAAACCTGAGGGGAAGTGGCATGCCGTGCAGGTCTAAGTGAGTCCTGCCATTCACCAGCAATCCCGGACTGTATCTATTTTAAAAAGAGCAACCGACATGTTTTGTGGATTGTCAAAGAGCCATGCAAAACCTCTCTGCTGGGAATGGAGGCACACACCTGTAATCTCACCACTGGGGAGGGGGAGGAAGGAGGAAGGAGAAGGTGAGGCCAGCCAGGGCTACACAGTGATGCCAGCCTGAGCATCACAGCAAGACCTTGTCTCAAGAAAAAAGAAAGGAGAAAAAAACAACCTCAAATGTGCTTCCCTACCCAATGTGCTAACACTGAACTCATGATCTCCTCCTCTTTCCTTCCACATGTTTATGAGTCCCCACGCCGCTGCCCGAAGAGCCCCTGGAAACATGAAGGTTTACTTCCCACTCTCCCCTGCTTCTGACCAGTGTCTGTTCTGCAAGGGCTGGGGGGAGGGGGATGCGTGGAGAAGGGGGAGGATGAAGCAGAAGCCAGAGCCTCAGCCTTCACTTCCTCTTCCCACAGCGGCTCCTGGGGCCTTCCCACCTTCCCACCTTTGCACCTGCAGCCAGAAGCATGGTCACCGTGCATGCTTGCACACTGTGCACACACCTGCCCTGTTTGCTTGGCCTCTGTGAGTCTTGTCATGGGGATAATTGGGGGTGCGGTGGGGTCTGGGCTGTCCCTCACTCCCACCTCACTCCTGTAAGAAAACCACAGCTCTGGAGCCAGAGCCTCCAGCTTGGGCGGGGGGTGAAGGGGTGGGGATTAATGGGGGGGAGGATGCACACATGGAGGCCCAGGCTGGTATTTTGCCTTGAAGCCAGCTCGGCGTCACAACTTGGGGAGCCAGGCAACCCACATGGCATCCACCACATTGCCCGATGATCCCACGGCTCTGATTCAAATGGCCGTCCCTAACTTTGGAGCCGGTCTGGACAGAGAGCTGGAACAACTCACCCACTAATCAGAGCACACAAGGAAACAACCCGCATGAGACAAAAAACATGTTTCCCAAAGTACAGACATCATAATTAAAAAGGGTTCCATGGCTGAGCAAGTTTGGAAAGGGCAAGGTAGACACCATGGACAGGTGCCCGCCTACTCAAGAGTTTAATTGTGGTGGGGGCTGGTGTGCCACGGGGCACACTTTGGAAACACTGGAGGAGCCCCACGAAGAGCAGCGGATGGCTAAACCGAATTCACTACAAACCCATCATTCTGCTGTAGCAAATCTCTTGGGAGTCATCGCCGCATCAATCTCCTCACCTCGTCCTCAATGCCTCCCACTGCACGGAAGAGAAAGATGTGCTGAGGGGCAAAAGTGAACAGCAATCTATAATAACCTGAGCACCAGAGCAGCCGCTGCATTTCCTGGGGTCTCATTTGTGCCGCCATTGTGCGTGCATGCGTACATGCACATGCACTCACATGTTCTTCTGCCACACGCAGAGACACAGTCTAGAGCCACACTGTGCTGGGTGCAGTGTTTCGTGAGTCATCCAAGACTGGAACTCAAACTCAGACTCTGATGCATTTGCTCACTGGCTGGTGCTCCCACCTGAGCCACGCCCTCTACCCTTCGTGTGATGATTTGTCCCATATCTACATAACCTAATACATCGCGGCGTGGACCTCGAATGCGTCTCTGGGTGAATGGTGTCCGGTGATATTCCATCTGGCCAGGGTGCTCCACAGAGGGTCAAGGGTCCTGCCTGAGTCCGGTGCTCCCCTGGTCTGCGACCATGCATTTTGGAGCAGTTCCCGCTCTCCCGGAGTCTTGGGGATCACAGGGAGGGCTCATCGAAGGACTGCAGAGCTTACCTGTGGAGGGGAAGCACCCCCACCATGATTGAAGTGGCAGTCTGAAGACAGCCATGCGCTGGGACATTCCTTGTAGAACCAGAGCAGGTCAGCGGCTGGGGCAGGGCCCTGCAGAATGGTGCAGAGCTCTAAGCGCTGAGATCTAAAGCCCTCGGTCACCCCCAGCATGCTGCAGGGGAGGGGCCGGGCTGCCAGGGGCCCTGAGCACATCCTGAGTCAGGGGACGTCCTTTGTTCAGCACTCATTCAACGGAGAGAACGCTGTGCGGACCGTGAAGTGGGTGGGTGGGGGCACTCTGGGGCTCGACGCACCCACACACTGGGGGAGGCTCTGAGCCTTCCCCAGCTCACATTCACACAGACCTTGAACCCGAGATCCACACTGAAGAGAGCACCATCCGAGCCTTTCACATCTTCAAGTACAGGGAATGTTCTCCAACTTTCTGCCAGGCGAGCCACGCCTGGCTCGGATTTCAGAGCCACCAGGCCCAGCCTGGGATTATCTCCTGCTTGGACCCTGGGACGGCAAGAAGCACACAACGACTCCTCTTCCTCACCTGTACCCCGGCTCTCCTGCACCCCTCTCTGTGGCCAGTCCCAACGCTAATCGCTTCCTTGGCCACCAAAGGATACTTGGCACATGGCAGGCAGTCTGGAGAGTGGAGCTGGGCTCTGCCCAGAGACTGTGCGGCGGATGCTGCCCTTGGGGTGTGGGTAGCTCCCCGTGGGGGGGTTACTTTCAGCCTCTGGGCCACGGAAGTGGCACTGCTGCAGCGGGGAGCATCTGCAGAACCAGGGCTGGCGCGGCTTCCATTGAGCGCTTGGGAGGAGGGTGTGTGTGTGTGTGTGTGTGTGTGTGTGTGTGTGTGTGTGTGTGTGTGTGTGTGTGTGTGTGTGTGTGTGTGTGTGTGTATGCACGTGCGCACATGCGCGCGCACGTCCACATGGCCTGCTTCCTGCCTGAGACTTGTGAGAAATTCTTCTCTGAACACTCACAGGTCTTTGTGGACATGAGTGTACACTTCTCCTGGGCAGGCTGGGTGAGCGTTAACACCATGCATTTACAAATCTTCACTGATCCCCTAATTTGGGGTCGAATGATAGACACAAGCCTTCCCAGTGTAGCGGGGTCTGTGTGAGTGGTGGTGTTTGGAGCGCCACAGCTTAGAGAGGGAATCGTCCTGATTCTCTCGGACCAGAACTCTGCAGAGTGCTGCTCCTGGGAGCCAGCTCTCTCCACTCACCTCCCCTGTGCTACCCAGTGGAAGAGAGTCCTGGTGAGTCCTTCCCTGTACTGCCTGGTAAGGGAAGCATCACCCAGGGCCTGGCCACCAAAGCAAAGACATGCCTTTTGCCAAGGGAGGAGACCTTTACTTCATGGCTGGTGTAACTTCCCTCACCGTCCCCCGGTGCATTGTGGGCTGTGAGAATCTCTGCTCGTGGAATACTCTTACACGGTGAATTCTATGTGGCTATGTTTTATTTTGGCAGCCATGTGGGAGATGGTATAGTTGGGGGGGGGGGGAGAGAATGACCAGAGCTTGCTCCAGATGTCCTGAACACACATCTCCTCAGCCCATGTGTACCATGTGTACTGCTGGTCTGTGAGTTGCTATTCACACACAGCACACAGCCACTCCTCCTACCCCTCCCCTGCTAGCCCTGCTCCCAGCAAAGCCCGGCCTTTACGGACAGCACAGGCTGCATACTGACCCTGTGCAGAGGAGAGAAGAGGGTGTGGAGGCACGAGGAGCCTGAGATGCATAAGGACTCATGGTATACTACATGTCGTACTCTGCTGGAAGATGCCTGCACGATCCTGACCTAGCCTCGTTCACAGACCTGACAACCAGTCTCCACGAGCCGCCATCTCAAGGTCACAGTTAGGATCTCAAGATCTCAAGGTCAAGGGTGAGTGGCTGGGACACACCTCCCTCCCAGGTCAGGCCGACTCCAAAGCATGCTGGGAAAGGAGGTGCTTCTTCCCTCTCCCCTTGGGCTGCGCTCGCTCTGTGGTGCGGAGGGTTCCATCTGGGTTTGCAGATCGCAGACCTGGCTTCTTCCTTCACTTGGAAGAGCGTGAGCATGTGTGCGTGTGTGTGTGTGTGGGGGGGGGGGCCCTGGG